TATATATATATATATATATATATATATATATATATATATTTATGCACATGCATCGAGAAATTGTAGTAGTGATTACTATTTGGAAAAGCAAAGTTGTAATCAGAAAATGAAGATGAAAATTATGAATAAACATGTGCACAACACTTTAATAGAAAGAGGAAGCTCAGGTGAAAGCTGGTCGGTGAGCACCCTGCGCTCTAGCAGTGCTTCGAAAGAACAGTTTCACTGTCTGCTCAGAAGGTTTCCTCAATTTTAAGACAACGAGTATGAAATTCCTGTATTCTTTCACAAATACAATTACGATATTAGGATTAAAGACTGGAAATAAAGCATACGAAATCGAACAGATAGTCGTGATGAGAGGAGTGGAGTTGATATTAGTAAAAAGTAAAGACATTGAAAAACAATACAGACCCGCCAGAAATACAGCCGGGCAAGCAGCCTGAAATGGGGATCACGTTAGCAAAATCTGAATGTATGGGGAACGTGTTGGCGGATTTCCTTTTAAGAAAATCTGAATAATTGGGAGGGCATGTGAATTACTGTTCAAACTTCTTCATGACCCCACTGAAGTTTGAGACATAACAGGGAACGCAAGTGATCAGGCGAGTCACCAAGGGGTTGATTCCTTCCAGCTTCTGGAGGAAGCGTTACCGTCAAAGCTTGATAAAACTCGATAATGATCTTGTAAGAAGCTTATTTCGTTTGTTTAACGCCAACATTTCCTGAAGGCATTCCATGAAGACTCCAGGTTTCTTTGCTATTGCACCCAACCAACATCCTTTTATCGTCGTTCGCATAAAGGTGGATCCGCAATACGTAATCCCCTCCGAATAGGTAAGAAGCACTGCAAGTCATCTGTTTCAAAAACGTTGAATGAGCAGATGTTCTCCAGCTATCCTCTTTCCCATCACTTACACTTGAAGGATTTTCTCGGTTTGTATCTGCTAGCTAGGCAACATTATCAAAAAGGTATCACCTGTAGAAGAAGTAGAACAAAAATTTGACGTTGTAGCGATAAAAAGCTGTTACACTGCTTGGCATATTTTAAAAAATCCTTAATCTCCTTCGCACAATGAACATTTGTGAGACAAATAACAATCATTAGGAGTATGAGCTCAACAACTAAGCTGAGGTGGAACGTATCCATTCCATACTGAAAATACTTGTCATTCCTTTTTAGCTTAATATAAATCTGATGTGATTCATACAGTGATGTTCAGGAATCTATTCCCAAGAGAGCTTGAGCTGTTGTACACAAAATCCGACCAATCAGTTATGACAGAATGAAGCACACTGTAGGTTTTCTTACCTTCAATGAAAATACAAAAAATGCGCCATTGCTGAAATCGATCCCAGGAATATCGATGTTCTCAGCAACAAAAGCAGAAAAACCTTCATCAGGCCAAAATGCAATATAAAATACAAGGAATGCATTCATAATAAGAAGTAAATTAACTAAGAAACCAAATACCATGGTTTTCTTCGTGGAAAACTTACGAAAAACAGTGGTCCTGTAAGAAAGGTACGTAAATATTCTCCTATATGCAGGCAAAAGCCTTTGCTATCTGTGATTCTATTCATTTTTTCTGCAACAGTAGTTTTCGCCGTATTGGCTTTGGCCTTCACGCCTAGGCTAGAATCAGCCTAGACAGTACAGGCTTTTGTTGCAGAAGTGGATATTATCGCAACGAGCGGGCGATTAGAAAAAATCCTATCCAATCTCTGCTTGATCAGACATCTCTTTTAATTGTGTACCAAAAAATGAAGAGAATCGGAGGTCAGAATCTTTCTTAATGATAATCAGTAGTATGAAGTGTGAATTTCTTGACCTGCACAACAGCATGTAGCGACATATAAAGCTGTTGGTTATAGTGATAAAAGAAAGCTATACTGTAAGCCATGTGTAGAACTTGTGAAAACGGCTGTTGTTTCACTATGCCCGTCGAGATGAATATCAGTAAAGAACATTTTGAGACCATTCGCTAAAAGAGAGCAATTTTCTGAACATATCGTTTTATCAATCTTCTCAGTTGACGAAACTGCGGTTTATTGTCCTCTACTTACCAGGGAAGGATCCCAAGTCGAAGTGGCCATTTGAAATGAGACCTACA